ATGCCGCCTCCGATGTTTGTAATAATTCGGATGGAGGCAAGGTTGATGTTGATGGGTATCTTGAACCAGTGAACGCCGCCAAAGATTTACCAGGAGTAAAGACTACTTATGATTGCAAGGTTGATCACGAATATTTTGAACTTGAACTGGTCAGTGATACGGATTTGCATTGTGGGAAAACCGCATCAACTGCTTTCTAATTTCCACGTTGAAATTAAAGAAATGGTAATATTAACTTGTTTGCTTAAGCCCCTGCTACACTGGCTGCTTGTACATAAGCGTATCGCCTTTAAGATTCTTCTCATTATACCTACAAGGTTTTTAATGGTCTCGCACTTAAGTACTTAGCCGATTTGCTAGTATTACGTCAGCCAAATAGGCGTCTTCGCTCAAACGCAACTGACAAACTGCGACTTGACAGGCCAGTGTTTAGAACAAAGTATTATGATGGTCACGCTTTTTCATCTTGTGCACCCACGCTCTGGAATGACCTTCCGCTAGTCGTAAGGAGCGCCCCATCAATCGACATTTTTAAAAACAGACTTAAAAACTTTTTTACTTATCTTATCTTTAAGCATGCTAATCTTGATCTTTAGTTTTACATTGTAATTAATATTTGTAAAGGACCCTTGATTTTAAATTATTACTATTCTTTGTAAGACCATTGAGATTTCTGATGCAGTGCGCTAGAAATAAATTATTAATTATTATTTAAAAGTCAATCCAGATGAAATGAAGTCGATTCTGGTTATCTGATCTAGCTACAATCAGGGACAAGAGTTGAGATGGCCCGAAAAGAAACTTTCTCCGTTCAAGCGTAATTTGCCCTACCTAACTGACTCCTCATATTTCGCCTCCAACCCCCTTCCCAATGTTGTAACTACGTGACAGCGTGGCCAAAGCCTGAATCAATATTGATTTGGGGGAGTGTGGAGGTTGGCTATTCACGTAATATATCAAACACGAGAGACAGTGTTTCATCGTGATATCCAAACACCGAGAAGGAAGTTGAAAATACGACACGCAGCGGAGTATTTTTGACGAAATTCGAGGTGTTTGGATAGCCGGTGAAACACTATCTCGAGCGTTTGATATTTCTTCTCAATCGAAACAAAAACTATAGAGTAAACGGAGAAGTAAAATTGTCAAAATTTATGCTAATTAAGAGCGGGTATCCAAACCTCCTTCACGGTTGAAATTTTCTTTGTTTTAACTTGATGAATTACTAATGATTTTGAGAAGGAAAAAATGTTTCTTTTATCAAGGGAAGTGCGGGTCTCGGTTGGAAAGCGTCCGATTCGTAAAAAAATGTCTCAACACTTGTTTTCCCTGATTGTAACTTGAGCTTGTTGGCGACACGAATGCGACGATCAGAATCGAGCTCGATTCCCTGGGAGCGAAAACTGTCTCCTATATTCTGGCCTGAGAAGAAATCATTTCTTTAGAGGACCACCCTAATTAACTTAGTGCTAGCTTGGTGATATCCTCTTTAAATATTGCTTTTATTGTTATTATTACAATCGAACGTCCGGTTGCGACCACCTCTCGTAAGCGATCACCTCTCCTCAGCGACCAGTTTTCCAAAATACCAGAAGTTTCCAAGTCAGATCACTATATTTGGAACCTCTTGTAAGCGACCACCTCTCGTAAGCGACCGCGACCACTTTTAGAGCTAAAAGTTTCAAGTTTTCTCTTGTTCTTAACCTCCAGTAAGCGACCAATGGACAGATTACAGAGCGAAAACTGGACAATAAAATGTTGTAACATCATCGCATTCCTGGGTAGCACAAGAGATGGAAATGTTCTCAACGAAAAGTTTCGGGTTTTTTCTCTGCAGTTACCATATGCTAATGAAGCGAAATTTTGACCGGCAAAATGGTCTGAGCTCTCGGAAGCGACAACCTTCCGTAAGCGACCACCTAGGCTTGACATTTTTGGTGGTCGCTTACGGGAGGTTCGACTGTGGCACATTTATTTTTACGAAAAAAACTTGTTTTTTTTTTTTTTCCCGAAAAACAAAGTAAAACGTCTTCGGAAAAAAAGTTTGTCATATTTACATTGCAAGCGTAACTTGACGCCTGATAATATTTTTTCACGAGTATGGCGAAATCAGAAACGGACAAGATGTTTGCCAAGGAAAAATAATAAATTTAAATTCAATCGTTTGAATGGCGTTTAATGAATTAACTTTTAACGTATAAAAAATCGCACGCATGGAGGCCTGTAAAATATTATGTTCAATATCCTACCTTTTGTCAAAACGTTATCAAAACCGAGGAATATATTTAGCCAAGAGTCGAAGTCGGAATGACGTCCTGATGTAGATATGTATTCAACATTTAGGCTAACTTTATCACGAACCAACTTGTACAAAAACTTTTTAAGAGGAAAACAACGAAATCAAGGTTTAATTCGCAATAAAAACCAAAACAAAGATAGGGATCAAGGAAAACGCCGTCGAATTTCTAGGATTTTAAGTGGCAGTCCCGCTAAAAGCGGTCCATTCGACTTCGGGACCAAACATAGCTTTCCCTCATTTTTTGTCAGTGGAAAGGATTTGGCACACATACATAAAAAAGCAATTTATTATTTTCCAGTTTCTTATTTTTGCTTTGCTACGAGCCAAAACTGAATTTTGGCCGAACTGAGTTGCTGATCGTGATCAGAAAGGTAAAATTCACCGATTTGTGAAGTGTGCTTCGTCCCCTAAAATGCAGCTCGCAGAATTTCGTTTTCATAAAAATTCTAAGGTACATTCATTACTTTGACTGACTAAATATGGAAACTTTTCGGAAAATTCTAAGCTCACCAGCAAGGGTGGAAGACACCCTACTCTGAGGCCTTTGTTCACCTACTAAAATTTTGCCAAATTCGAGGGAGAAAGTCTCAAAAGTTGGGACTAAATGAAGGCTACAAAGCAGATCACAGTACATTTCTTACCTTAGTAAACCGCTCTATAAGTTCAAACCGCTGGGTATCTCCTTGGATTGCATGCGACAACAGATTAAAATCTGCCACCATCAGTGTATTTACATAACGATCGCTCGTGTCAAAGCTCATTTGCCGATAACCCTTGTACTCGGTGAAAATACTTCTTCTTCCGTTCAGGTTCGTTTGTTGACCTTCTGAGTAGTAGCATATAGCTTTCTTTAGTATTTGTATACACTGTAGATCCAGTTTTGAGGTGAAGGTTGCGTTAAAGGGGATAAATTCTCAAGACTTGCGAGATACTCCAAAAGTAAATAATGGCGGTCTCAGCACAAATTAACCGTAGCCGTCGTCCTGATAAGTTCCTTCAGTAAATTCTG